TCACTGTGAGGCGTATGTTGAAATGGGGGATGGCAGCGCCATGTGGAGGCACCCAGTGAGGCCATAGGTGGAACTCCTTATTGGGCGCGGAGGAGGAGGAGGAGGGAGGAGGAGGAGGAGGAGGAGAAGGACGAGGAAGACGGAAGACTGCAGGAGAACGAGGATGATTTTTTTTTTCTTTTTCTTTTTCCCCCCCCGCAGCTTCGTAGCGAGCCCCGTCCGTCCGTGTGCAGGGTTTGGGGCGTCACCAGGGGCACCCGCACGGGGCACCCACCTGGCCGTGCCGACCCCAAAAGGGCCAGACCACCGAAGCGCCCTCCCCTGAGCCCTGTTCGCGGAGGTGTGCAGCATCACCAGGGGCGCCCCCACGAGGCACCCACCTGGCCGTGCCGACCCGTAAAAGGGCCAGACCACCGAATCCACTCCCTCCCTAGCACACACTCAACCTCAGAGATCAGCAGCCAGATCCGCATCCAGAATCATCTTCTCCACCATCATGCCGTCCCACTGCGGAGTACTAGCGGGGTTGCCACACCCGTAGACGGTCATCGGGTCCGCCTCTGTACGCTCATCGTCGGGGTACACCTCCAGGCAGACAGCGCCCTTGCGAATGCCAGATATCTTCGCGACACGCCCAATCCAGGGGCCGCCAAGGAGTGTGACGAACCGACCCACGAACAATTCCAAGGGCCAAGCGTGGTGCTGGCAGAGCTCCGCGAGCGGCAACCGCCGGCGCCAGCTCACGAACTCCTCCCCATGCCATACAATCTCACGTATAATCCGCGCGGGGGCTGCGCCAGCACCAGAGGACAGCACCTGCGAACCGAAACACAGCTCGAGCGTATTCTGGAAGTTCTTTTGCGCGTCCGCCAAGGGCTTGAGAAGCTCCGCAAGTAAAGCCTCAACGTCTCCACCTGCAGCGTTAGGGGCGCCAGCTGGCACATCTCCATGGAGATCCGCACCGCCAGGAGGCACTCCACAACCCTCAGCTCTTTCAGGAAGCCCTTCACCAAGAAGATCCGCACCACCATGAAGCCCTCCAGGGAGCACTTCGCCAGGAAGATCCGCACCTCCAGGTAACACCCCACCAACATCACCTCCATCAGGAAGCAAGTCACGCTGAAGATCCGCATCACCATGTAGCTCCACTCCCACCGGAAGCACTTCTCCCAGAGGATCAGCACCACCATGAAGCCCTCCAGAGAGTACCTCTCGCTGAAGCTCCGCACCACCAGGTAGCTCCACTCCTCCAGGAAGCCCTTCACCAAGAAGATCAGCATCTCCATGCAGCCCTCCAGGGAGCACCTCACCAGGAAGATCCGCAACTCCAGGCAGCACCCCACCAACATCCACACCATCAGGAAGCACTTCACGCTGAAGATCGGCACCATCAGGTGGTACTCCAGGGCCCAGAAGAGACTCCGCATCACCACGCAGCCCTCCAGGGGGAACTGCACCATGAGGGAAAAGGTCCTCACTGTCATCATGCTCATACATCATTTGATTAACCATATCATCTTGCCACTCGGGATAAGAAAGCCAGGGGTAGATACAACCGGCCTGTCGCGAGTAGGAGGCTCAAGTTCGCGGAGTAGGACGTCAACATCACCACCAGCAGGGCGAAAAATGGCCGCCGACGGATTGAATGGGAATGGAGGGATCTCAGGCAACGGCTGTCGATACCGTGGTGCTTTCTGCGGCGGTCCATTCGAAGACCACGGGTCTCCAAAGCCAGCGTGCCAGGGGTCAGCACCACGTGGAGGCGGCTGTGGCCCGTCACGTCCTGGAAGTAGACGGCGACGCCCACCTTGTCCGCCTGTGCGATCGCCATTGCCCTGATCATCCCAGCCACCACCATCAGGATCATCGCCAACGTCCTCGTCAGGTTGGGAAGCAAGCATAGAGGGCACAGCCGCCTGAATCCAGAAGGCCGCCTCGACCTTGCCGTCGGAGTACTTGTGGCCCCTGTCAACCACCACGTTGCCAATGATGTGCAGGAGAACGAGGATGATGATGATGATGATGATGATGAGGAGGAGGAGGACTCCCTCTCCTTATTCATGCGTGTTTCTTATCATTTGTTCGGGGGGGGGGACGTTCAGCCATCTCTTGCAACATCTTGGGGCATCAAAGGCCCATCGGGGGCGAGTAATTAGGCGATAAAGCGAACATCTGCCTGACAGGCACACTGCATATCCATTGATTTCGCAACGTCAGGGGCGTATTTTGGAGGCTCCGTGGCCACGCTAAGCCAACACTTGGGGCTGTTCTTGAGGCCTTTAGCCATCATTCTGGAAACCACAGTGTACCAGCTTGGACAGACTCCCTCCTGCTTCGCCCGCCCCCTTTTTCAGCCCCATCGGCAATGTCGAACATGGTCGCTTCGATATACTTACGGTTTGGTTATGATTTGGATACGATTTGGTTATGATTTGGTTACGATTTGTGTAAATTGGTTATGATTTGGTTACGATAATTGAAAATATGGCCACGGTTTGGTTGTGCGAGCATCCTTCCGGAACGGTTTTGGTTACGGGGGTGTTCAATGCATGTTGATAGCTCAAGTGTGTGAGGGGTCGCTCGTAACCATATTCTTCGCGTTTTGGTTACGCGCAACCCTGTCGAGCGTAACCAAATGATTTGGTTATGTACGCTAAGAATCGGCCCAAAACCAATAACCGGGAACCCGGGAACCTGGAACCGGAAACCCGGGGATCCAGCCTGCTACCAAAATCGGCGGGAAACTTTCGCCCAATCTTTCAACTTCCGAATGGGACCCCTTCAGTGCAAGCACTGATTGGGAAAGCGGCTGCGCGTTTCGCCGCCGACGGGCCCCGTGGGCCAAGTCCGGACTCCCACGCAGTCGACGACCTGACGTCGGTCCATCTGGGCGCGTGTGCCGTCGGCTTCGGCCTCTGGGGCGCGCCCCCTGGTCCCAGGATGAAGTCGGGCACGTCCCTCTACAGGAGGGAAAAATCAAAAAGAATAAGAAATAATAGGGATACGATTTTTCCAACTTTTTTTCGACCATTTTAGAATAACTATGTCTTGACTATTTTGTTTTACTTGTTGGACGAAAATCCGCCTGTAGGGGGACACGCCCGACCTAATTTCAGGACCACCAACAGCGGATGCGGGGCGAAAGACAGCCCCCCAGGGCCCGAGGGAAGGGTCGGGGCCTCTGAAGCCGCACATTGAAAGCCTCATATCGTCGGATGTCCGGGAGGTCCGACGTCGTGAGCAAATTGCAGTATCGTGGGAGAACATGATCTGAACCTCAGAGGCCCCACCTCTCCGCGGCACTCGAGATCCAATCGCATCGACTGCGCCAGAATGCACACCAGTGCCATGCGAACATCGTGCCGCACTGGATATCGTTGGAAGGCCGGAACCGGATCGGCTCGAGATGCACAGAGCCGACATCGAACTGGATCGATCGGATCGGTGGCAGACCCTGGGTCGCCACCCCCGCCACCACCGCCGCCCCCGCCGCCCCCGTGCGCCGCGCCCCTGAGATCCGACGCCGCGAACAAAGACCCAACACCGTGAACAAAGCGCCATTGGACCCCATCGCTCTGCGTGCGGCATCTCTCTCGAGTCGCATAGATTCCTGCGGAGGGCCCGGGGGGCCCGGGCCTGGGCGCAAGTACCCCGTGCGTGCGAAAAACTTGCGACGCCAGGATTTCAGAGCAGAGGCGAGGACCCATTGCCACCGAGAGCCCATCGGGGGGGGGGGGGGCGACCCCTGGGCAGTGCCACGCCTGAGCGTCGTCCTGTACTGTGCGACGCTCGGGCATGCCACCGCCCAGGGGTCGGCCCTGTCCGCTGGGTTTCAGGTGGCATGCCATAACCGCAGCCCTGGGCCCACCTTTCCGCGGCCTCTCTCGAGCCAGATCAGCCTGCGAGGGCCCCAGTGCCTGAGTCTCGCAGAGCACGCCGCGTGCCCAAACATCCGACGATCTGTGTTTTCAATGCGTGGCCTCAGAGCTCCCGTAGATGGACAAAAAGTCCTGAACTCCGCCCCCACCCTCCCCCCAGATTCAAAGCTGGTCTCAGGCATTCGGCAGCACAGGCGTGAGAGAGCACAAAAAGTGACCCCCCCAGGGCCTCCGCGATGCCCGGCCCAACGGCGAGCGAGCGGGGGAAGTGAGAAGGAAAAAAGGCCTTCTCAGAAGGCTCGGAAGTCCCCCGGCCGTCCGACAAGTCTTCCAAGCCCTGCCCGAAAAAAAAAATACCCCCTCAGAAGGCGCGAGGGCTTCGGAGACGCCCCGCCGCCGTCCGAGAAGGCCTTCGCCTTCTTACTTCCCCCCCCTCACTCGCCGCAGACAACGCTGAATCTGGGGGGAGGGGGAGGACGAACACGGAATCGAATCTGTCCCCTTACCGTCCCGACCCGTTCCTCGAGATCGTCCCGGCTCCAGTTCTATTTCTGCTGGCCCCCGCGGCGAGCGAGGAGAAGGGGAAGCCGAGCAAAAGCAATTGGCGGCGAGCGGGGGGGGGGGAGTGAGAAGGAGAAGGCGCTCTCAGAAGGCGGCGGGGCTCCTCAGAAGCCCTCGCGCCTTCTGAGAGGTGTTCTGTATCTTCGGGGACGGATTTCGACTGGGGGATCGACTACAGAATTGATTTACCCCAAAATTGACTTTCACGTCGACTCTTCACCAACAATACGTCAACCATTCGCAGATCTGCGAAAGATCTGCGAAATGCCCGTGGATTCGACAAGAAGCATCAATTCTGGAGCAAATGAATTGGGTATGGGACGCACAAAGACATACTAGTTACTAGTACTATATGTTCTCCTTGGGGGCGCGCGTCCGACCCCGGCGGAGCGACGCATATGTAGCAGAAGTAGATTGGGGTGACGCCGACTGCAGTCGATCCCCTACTCGAGGATCCGAACCCAGACATGCGACGTCCTGATTCTTTCAGGACGGCGTCTCCAGAAATCCCGACCCCTTCCCTGGGGCCGGCTTTTCATCCTGCGCCGTTGCTTGACAGCCCCAGGGCCCGGCGAGGGCCCCCCAGGAGCCGAAAAGCAGCGAACAACTGGCCGTCCTGACTCTCTAGCGCCGCGATCGTGCCTGGGCCCCCTTGCGCGAGGCTCCAAAAGCTCCTCCGCAGGCCAGGGGGGGCGCCCGAGCCCTCCGAGAAGAAGGCCGCGTCGCCTCGTGTCGCTGCCCCCCCCCCCCCCCTCGGGATCGCCGCCGAGCGACGGGGGTCACCCCGACAGCGGGGGCCCCCAGAGGCCGGGAGCAGGTCGGGCACGTCTCCTTTTTGAATATTCCCCCTGTAGAGGGACAGGCCCGACTTAAAGGAAGGCGTGGGAAACTTCTCAGATGGCCGGGGGACGTCCGAACCTTCTGGGAAGGCCTTCTCCTTCTCCCTTCCCCCCCTTCGCTATCGCCGCCGAAAAGGACAGCAGCGCAGCCTCCACAGAACCACGAGGCCCTCCGCCGGCCGAGCTGAAGAACCATTGGAGAGTACAGTCGAGACTCGCCATCTCGACCGGCGCGTCCACAGACCGCCGAGTCGGAAAGGAGCTACTGTGCCTCGTTTAGCGCGTTTGTGATTATGTAGACCCATGGATGCCCAGGCCGCCCGGCCGGGTCGTGGGGCAACGGGCCGGCTACATTGGATGGAGACTAGTCCATGGTTTTCAGAAATGCTGCGCGAGCCGGCACGGCAAACCCCTGCAGTGCACAGCGGATGGACTCCGACTCCGCTGTGCGCATTGTGCCCTGGGTCGTTCGTTCCCTTTGTTCTTGCTCGTGTCTCCTGCCAGGGCGGGAGGGCATCACTCGACAGTCCCTGGGCCGGGGGCGGTTGATGTCTCCGGGCATCTCCCCTGGCCACACACTAGTCGTTAGCGCTGGGGGGCGCCTGACCACCGCACCCTGGTGTAGGTGGAGCGCGGGTTACTGTGCGGCGCGCTGCCGGTCCTAAGGTGTCGACCTTACATGTCTTGGCCAGGCGACCAGGGACGCCAGTGGCTACCGAGCAGTTTGGAAACGTTTGGATATTCTGGCATTTCTCGGAGGGTGGGTGGGGGAACTCGGGCGGGTTTCGAGCGTAATCCTGTATTTCGTCAAGCTGCGAGCTGTGCGTGCCCGTGTTCTCGCTTGGTTGCTTGTGCCGCCTTCGCCTTCGGGCCGCCCGCTGCGCCGGGGTCCGGTCTTGCACCGGGCCTCTTTGGGTGGGGGTCTTGCACCCTGTTGGCATGTGATGCAACCTCGGAGGACCCAGGCCGCTTGCGAACCGTATGGGAGGGAACGTCGCATGGACGGGGAGTCGCGTAAAGGGATACGCACTGTGCGTTTATGTACATTGTGTATGGTACCGTGTGTTTCGTGAGTGTGTGTTGTACGCTATTATGTTGTGTACGTTGTCCGGGATCTGGCGGGTTTCGAGCGTAATCCTGTATTTCGTCAAGCTGCGAGCTGTGCGTGCCCGTGTTCTCGCTTGGTTGCTTGTGCCGCCTTCGCCTTCGGGCCGC